GTTTTCAATACAGAGTAATTTTAACTCAAGTAATGGTTTTAAAAGTGAAAATACATGGTCAAACATTACAAATATGGAATTGAGATAAATATTAAGGAATCAGAATGAATAAATAGAGATAAATAATAAATAGAGTCATTATTGCAAGGGAGATAATTGAAGCTAATAGATGAAGCTTTGAACTGTTACCTTGATGCAGTCTTTATGAAAGAATGCCTTTAAAAATAGTTTTTTAAAATTGAAGTATGGTTGATTTACAAAGGAATGTCTTGAAAGAAAAATAGTCAAGAACTGTACCATCAGGAGTAGTCATAGTTGGATGCTTAAAATGCAGAAAATTAATAAGAACTGGAACAGTAAGAAAGACAAAAGAAATACTGCACACAATGGAAACCGTGTTTGGAAGAGGTTCAAGATAGGGAGATAATTAGCTACCAATGTTAGCTTCAGCAGAGAGCACCTAGGAAATGAAGACAGAGTAAGCCAGATTTAACTGTGAGGACATACTTGGTAATCTTTGGAAATAAGGTGTAGTAGAATATGGGGGGAAAATAGATTGAAGACAGTGAGCTTCAAGTCACCTTTCTAGCATATCAGCAACAGAAAGTTGGTAGATGGTCTTAATTGTGGTTCATTAACACCATGTACTAACTTCCTGTCACTGAATTTGAGCACCCACCTCCTAATCATCTCTCTAATCCAAATGACTTCAGCATCTATGTGGGTAATCTCTTTTGTCACCTGGTCTTTCAATACAAAGATCTTTTTTCTTCAATGTTTTCTCCATTCTGTCACCATCAATCCACTTCTGTAGTTGTTATCAGATGAAATTGCTGCATTTACAAAATTCTTGGTTTTAGGCATCATGCTTTCCAAACACCAGTTCCTGTATTTTAGGTTAGTTGTTTTAAGTACTCCCACGCTGACTTTTTTTATCTTGCCCTTCAGTCCATTCCCTTTATTTTCTCCCTATGAAAGTGAAAAAGTGAAGATGTTAGTCGCTCAGTGACGTCTGACTCTTTGCAACCTCATGGATTGTAGCCTGCCAGGCTCCTCTGTCTGTGGAATTCCCCAGGCAAGAATACTGGAGTGGGTATCCATTGCCTTCTCTAGGTCTTCTCAACCAAGGGATCAAACCCAGCTCCCTTGCTTTGTAGGCAGATTCTTTACTGTCTGAGCCACCAGGGAAGCCCCATTTTCATCCCATCTAGTATAGATTCTGCATTTCATTATTTGAAAAAAATTTTCAATACCCTAAAATCATTGCTCCTCTTTGATTTTTGTTACACCCTTCTGAAGTCACTGCAGCCTTGGATGAACTTAGTGATAACACTTTCTTTTTGGCTATACCTGGTAAAACAAGGAGACTCACCAGCACAGTTGGTATCACTATAAATTAATGGTCGTTACCTACCTCCCTGGGCCATTAACACTGTCTGATGACTCTGATATTTTCTGAAGTCAGCTTATTCTTGCTGAAAGACTGTTTTTGCATCTTTTTGATTTCTTGAAGTTTCTCCCTATTTTTGCTCTTCTTAGCAAATGGTGTTATGTCCTTATTTCACAGTGCAAATAAAAGTCACTAGATCAGAATTACCTCAACCTTGTAATGCCAAAGCTTTAAACTTACCTCCAAATGTACCTAACCTCTCTTCCAATGAAGAGAGACACTTCTCCAGGTTTCTTCACCTGACTTGTGGTCTCAATTTCCTACTTCCTTTTCAAACTTTACATTATTAATTACCCCTCTTGCTCCTTTATTTCCAGTCTCTTCCTTTTGGTGACTCACATGAATACTTATGCTCAAGTTCAGGGATCCTCAATTTCTGGATCTAATGCCTGATGATCTGAGGTGGAGCTGATGTAATAACTAATGTAATAATAATAGAAATAAAGTGCATGATAAATGTAATTGAATCATCCTGAAACCATCCCCCCACTCCAGTTCATGGAAAAATTGTCTTCATGAAACCAGTCCCTGGTGCCAAAAAGATAGGGGACTGCTGCTCTAGTTCACCTAACATTAAAAAAAAAAAAAAACATCAAACTCCTCTTTGACCCCATTTAGTTTCCAGCTACTTGCCAGTTTTCCCCTTTCCCTTTGCATCCAAAGTTCATAAAAGTGTTATCTACCCTTTCTGTTTTCATATTCTTTCTTCATATTCACTCCTACCAACTTCTTTCCACACAAAACTGCCTTTTAATGTCATCAGTGATCCTCATGCCATTAATTCCTGTATACATTTTTAATCTGCCTTCTCTTTGGTCTCTCAGAAACTTTCAGTAGAATTGCCCAGTTTTCTTGAAACTCTCTCTTCCTTTGTCTTCAATTGCATCAGAATCTCTTGGTTTCTTTTTCACCACTCAGAGAAACTTGGAAGCTGATGAAACATTTTAAGTAGGGAAGGGCCAGCCAGTTTTAAGAGTGCTAAGTAATTTGAAGAGAAGATGATAGACTGAAGAAAAGATTGGTTGTTAAGCTACCATAACAGACCAAGCCAGAGATAGACTGGAGTGGGAACAGTTGATTTGGAAACAGTTGAATAGATCAAGAGAAATTTAGGAAATAGTATCAACAGGATTTTGAGATAAGTTGGATACATATGGTTATTAGAAAGCTGGAATTACTTATTTAGATTTGGGCATCTAAGATAGTTGGGATACCATTTATTGAAGGAAGAACACTGGAAAAGACTGTGTTTAGTTTTAGGTGCATTTGAGATTATGAATGGAAATGTGAAGAGGAAAGTTGGACATACAAGCCTGACTCAAAAGAGCTAAGATATAAATATTCGAATTGTTGATATATAGATGGTAATTTAAGTCATGTATATAAAATAAATCATCTGGGGCAAAGCTTATTGAGTAGGAAGAGTTCACTTTAAACTTTGTTGAATTCCAACATTTTAAGGCTGATTCAAGGATGGAGTTGGCAAAGACTGAGTAACCACTACAAAGTTAGAAGAATATGGTATCTAGGAAGCCTTGGGAAGAAAATGTTTTAAGAAAGGAGTCAGCATGTTTGTTTTCATCCAAATAGATCATCATCTCAATGATAATTGCCTATTTACATGTTCATGTACCCAACAGTTTAAGTTGTTTTAGGGATTGTGGGTTGAACTACATTGGAAGCTAGCAAACATTTTCTATAAAGGGCTGGATGGTAAATATTTAGGCTATATAGGCCATATAATCAGAGAAGGCAATGGCAACCCATTCCAGTACTCTTGCCTGGAAAATCCCGTGGACGGAGGAGCCTGGTGGGCTGCCGTCTGTGGGCTGCCGTCTATGGGATCGCACAGAGTCGGCCACGACTGAAATGACTCTTAGCAGCAGCAGCAGGCCATATAATCTCTGCTGCAACTACTGAACTCTTGTTGCAGCTTGAGAGCAGCCATGTACAGTACATAAAAAGTAGGGGTGACTCTCTACTAATAAAACTTTATTTATGGATAGTGAGTGAAATTCATAATTTTTACAAATCACAAAATATTTGTGATTTTTTTTTAATTTTTAAAAAGCATTCTTAGCTTGTGTACTGCATAGCTTGTGTACTGCATAGAATTTTTTACTTTGATTTGTATTAATACCTGAGGCTTAAAAAACACCTTTAGGCAGTAAAACATATGTTTACACTGCTGAGAATTCTAATTATTATTTCATTATTTTTCATTCTTAATTTTTATTCAACTGATCTTAGTCATATAAGGCCATGTTAACTGTATAGGACATGGACTCTGTACCCATATTGCTAGAATTTAGCGTGAGAGACAGTACATAAACTGGTGAAAAAAAAATTAAGATATGGTAAAAACTTGTGATATATATACCATGAAGAAAATTGACAAATGTAATGTTATTAATTATGAAGGAGGAGCAAGGGTAGTTAAAAGTGGCCAAAGGATGTATCTTCTGGGAAATAGCATTTATGTTGAGACTTAAGTTACATGGGTGGATGAAGAATAACTAATTAATAACTAATCAGCATGTGTGATGACCCTGATTCCCATACTAAGGGTTTAGTATTTTCCAAGAGCTGAAGGTTGGTTTTAGGTATATAGCTTTAGGTGTCTGCATTTAACTAATCTACAGATAATTGATTATACAATCTGATACTGTTATGTATTGATTTTTTTTTTAATCAGACAACCTGTGCTAAGTAATAGCTAATAACTATCAGGATCAAAATAGGCTGTTAAAAAGAAATACGGACTTCCAGTGTATTTGATAGCTTACTGTGAATGGTGTTGTTCATATCCCATATTCATTGAAAGCCATTCAGCTGAAATGATGTTGCTATTAAAATATGGATTGACAGTTGAAACTAGTATGACTAATTGCCATACCAAGAGCTATTTAGTACTAAATGTCAAACATACTGAAATCAAAGAAGAATCTGCTTTCTACATGAGTAACTCAGTTTAGTCTCCAGACACGTGACGCATGAAGGTGGTGTCTTAAGAGATGCATTGAGCAAAAGAATAGCTGACAATAGAACTTGTCATTGTTAGTGAGAATAACACAGAACAGATTAGCTAGGGAAAGAAAAGAGCAAGAGAAATAGAATGACATAAATGGGGGTAAAATGAGAATCATGGTCAGTAATAGTAAAGAAGAAGGACTAGAGGAAAGAATTTAAGGAAAAGAAGAAGGGAGAATACGTGGTTTAAGAGGAACATATTCTAGTAGGTGAAATTTTATACAAGATAAAACCTTAGAAAAGTCTACTTTTAGTTTTAGGAATAAATGCTAATATCTCATATGCATTGCCTAATCATATGAGAAGATCTAAATCAAAGCTTGCCATATCTTTGATTATCTCTTCTACTTCAAAGTCTTTCTTTTGCAGTATTTCACTTTGAAAACTCAAAGTGTCAAATTACATACTTATATTTTATAAATTTTTACTTTTTAAAAATAATAGTTACAAATACTTGTTTTTAAATAAAATGTATATACCATGTAGTATGTTGTATTTATTTACTCAATCTTTTTTTAAGTGTTTCAGGCTGCATGTACCAAGTAGTTCAGACGATTGGCTCGGATGGAAAAAATCTTCTGCAATTACTTCCAATTCCTAATTCCTCTGGAAATCTTATGCCACTAGTTCAATCTTCAGTCATGTCTGATGCTTTGAAAGGGAATACAGGAAGTCCAGTTCAAGTTACTTTTCAGACTCAGATTTCCAGCTCTTCCACAAGTGCATCAGTTCAATTGCCCATTTTTCAGCCAGCCAGTTCTTCAAACTGTTTTCTTACAAGAACAGTAGATACAGCAGAAAAAGTTAGAGTTACTTCTGTGGGAACTGAAAATTTTACCTCATCAGTTTCTAAAGTTCAGAGTCATGGTGTGAAAATTGATGGACTCACCATGCAAACATTTGCTGTTTCTCCCTCTTCAACACAAAATGATTCATCTTACATTTTAGTAAATACCCAGAGTCTCCCAATGACTGTGAAGTCTCCGGTTTTGCCTTCTGGGCATCATTTACAGATTCCAGCCCATGCTGAAGTGAAATCTGTACCAGCGTCATCATTGCCTCCTTCAGTTCAGCAAAAGATACTTGCAACTGCCACCACAAGTACCTCAGGAACAGTTGAGCCCTCCCAAATACCTACTGTTATTTATGTATCTCCTGTAAATACAGTGAAAAATGTAGTTACCAAGAACTTTCAAAACATTTACCCAAAACCTGTTACAGAAATAGCAAAGCCAATGATTCTAAACACCACACAGATTCCAATGAATGTTGCTAAAGAGACACAGTTAAAAGGTGGTCAGCATTCTCAAGCTGCTCCAGTGAAATGGATTTTTCAAGAAAATCTACAGCCTTGCACTCCATCTCTTGTTCCTGTTAAATCTTCAAATAATGTGGCTTCAAAGATTTTAAAAACTTTTGTAGATAGAAAAAATTTGGGAGATAATACTGTAAATATGCCACCATTGAGTACCATCAGTCCTAGTGGGACACAATCCAAAAGTATGCCTATTAAAGATAATGCTTTGGTTATGTTTAATGGGAAAGTCTATCTCTTGGCTAAAAAGGGGACAGATGTTTTGCCATCACTAATTGACAAACAGAATTCAGTTTCTTCTGATATTCCACCAAGAAAAGATGCATCACAGATAGTGAGTTCAAGTCCAGTCACAGAAATATCCAGAGAGGTTGTAAATATTGTTTTGGCTAAAAGTAAATCTTCCCAGATGGAGACAAAATCAGTTTCAAATACTCAGCTTGCTTCCATGGCCAATTTAAGGGCAGAGAAGAATAAGAAAGTGGAGAAACCATCTCTTTCTGCCCCAAACCCACATAGTATGAACCAATCTATTAACTACTTAAAGCAGAGTAAGACTTTATTCTCAAAGCCAGTCTTACCAGATGGATTTAGTACAGGACAAAATGCCCCCAGGAAAGGAAATATCATCCAGAGCATAGAGAAAATAAGTTCCTCTGTTGATGCAACAACTGTTACTTCACAACAGTGTGTTTTCAGAGACCAAGAACCAAAGGTAATTTTCCCATGTCAGGGTGTTCTTTTTAATCTTATGTATATAGAAAATTTTTCTTTCTTGATTCTTAAAGTTAGTTATCTATGATACCTCTTTTTCCCTCCTCTCCCACCCTCCTTTTCATCATATACATACCATACACACATGAATGCTTAAGCCAAAGCTTTCATTTGAGGGAAATGTTTGAGAAGTGTAATAGAGCCCAAACAGTATTTTTCTCTTGAATCATTTGGCATGCCAAATCTTAAAAGCAAAATTAAACAAACAAATCACAGAGCAACAAGATTTAGAAGAGTTGGAGAAGGATAATGTGAATTCACAGCTTCGTAAAATTGTGTTTGTAAATATATATGCATGCTTATATTTGTACACATAAGTACATGTACATACATATATTTAAGAGCTTACTTTTAGTATATGAAGAGATTAATGTTACGCCTAGAGGAGAACTGGGATTTGTTTGTTTGTTTTGTGGTAGGGAGCTATCTGGCAGTTTTTTAGGTAGATGGTGGAAGGGGTAGGACTTGACTAATTAACACCTTTCATTCATATGTGGAAAAAATTTATCAACATCTTGATTGTGTTTTTTTTAAGATACAAGTTTCCCTTTCCTTTTTCTAGCCCTTCTTTCTGACTCCTCATTTAGTTACCCAACATATCCACATAATTATTTCTGTTCTACTTAAGATATGTGTATGTGTGACCTCTAAATATTTGTACTTAGAGGTCTACTTAATAATGTCAGTATTTTCCCCTTTTGTACAGAATTCATTGAACTCCAGGGATATAATTAAGTAAATTCTGATTAAGTATAAGATTAATTAAAGGTATAAGGGTTTTTCAGAATATGATAGTTTCCAACATAATGTCATATAGATTATTTTCAACTTGTTATTAGTCTGTATTCTCATTTCATTTGTTTGAGAATTGACTACCTGTTACTTTCCTAGTACAAGAAAGTAAAATTGTTGGGGAGTATTTTGGTTTTTCCCAGTAAAGTTCAGCTTTTCAAGTGTGGGTGGTAAGGTAAGAGTAATGCATTTAGGACTTTAAAGCATGGCATTTTAAGTAAGATGAGGTAATTACTTAGTTGCTAGTGTGATAAAATAGCCTAAGTAATTGGCAGTATTGTTTGTGTGTTTTCTTTTCCTATTTCCAGATCCAGAATGAGATGGCATCAACACTAGAAAAAGTTACTCAAGAAAGAAATGATAAGAACAGTTCTCAACGAAGAAGCAAAAAGGTGTCATATCTGAAGAGTGATGCTGAACTTAAAAAGATATATGGTATCACTAAAGATTTGAGAGTGTGCCTTACTCGGATTCCCCAGCAGTTGGGCTCTGGAGAAGGTTTTGATTCCTTTAGCCCTTTGGTGAAGAATGAAACTTACAAAGAAGCAGAGTTTATAGTGAAGGAGGAAGGGAGAAAACAGGTAATAGATTTTAAAGTGTCCTTTGTAGGTACTCCAAAGATACATGAATGTATTAATTTTCTTGATTTTTATTTTTTTAGTCTTGTGTATTAATATGAATGATACTTCTTACCAAATTTGCGTCTATATGTATTATACCAAAACATATAAGAAAATAAAGGTAAAAAGATATCCCCAGTTAATTAAAATGTTGTTTAAGGAATTCCCTGGCAGTCCAGTTGTTAGGACTCCACATTCTCACTGTCAAGGACCCAATCCCTAGTCAGGGAACTAATATCCCTCAAGCTGCACAGTGTGGCCAAAAAAATTTAAAAAGGAAAATAAATGACAGAAATGTAGGGAAAATAATAAGCATGTAGATATTCACTACAGTATGGCTTTTAATATAAGCCTTAAGAGAAATCTATACAATAATGATGAACAAAAAAAATCCCTGTAGCTTTGCCTACTGTCATTCTACTTATAAATGTTTCCTTCTTGTTTAATATCCTGAACTTCAGATCAGAAACCAGTCAACCTTTCCCAGTGATAATCTTTTATATGTGCCTACTGTGCAGATGAAAAAAAAAATGTTAAGTATGTTAAATCTGTTTCTTAGGCTCTTCACAAATGATTGTTATGCTTTTGCAGTAGATCAGTATAGCTTCTAATAGTTGATCTAAGCAGGAAAATGTGAATTAGGCAATTTATTCTCAGTGATATCATTGGGACATTGCCATTCACTTTGATACCATACAGTGGCAAACATTACTTTCTTCCTGTAGTTGTTCTCAGTAGTTTTGTTGAGTTGAATTTAATGGCTAAATATGTGTAACTGGAAACATTTTTAAATTCAAGAGCACAGATATATTCAGCAATAATATTTTGTTTTTCTTTTGAAATCTTACTCAAAATTGCAGCAGGGTATTGATAAGAAAAGAAAAGCAAAAACCACTAAGAAGATGGATCGTCCAAAGAAGAGAAGAACCAATAGTGTTAATAACACAACTATAAATGGAGGAGCTAATGTCACCAGTTCCCAGGTCATTAGCAGTATTTTGCCAACTTCAGATGTGTCAAACCATAACATCCTCACAAGCTGCAACAAAACCAGAGAAGAAAAGAGAACTGAGGTAGAGCATTGTACTCATGGAAACCAAGAAAAAGGCACACTGAGCTCAAGTACAGCTTTTGAACAAATCCATTCCTTTAATAAAAATTATACTGAAGATATTTTCCCAATGACACCACCAGAGTTAGAAGAAACCATTAGAGATGAAAAGATAAGAAGACTTAAGCAAGTGCTGAGAGAGAAAGAAGCAGCTCTTGAAGAAATGCGTAAGAAGATGCATCAAAAATAATAAAAATGGCTGTTCTTAAAGGCATCAGTGAAATAGCTGTGTTTTTTCATATACTTTTGCATTAAGTTATAGGTGCATTCTGAAAGTGTTTTTGAATGTGAAAATTGTCTTTTCATCAGCTGATTATAAAATTTTATGTAAGAAATATAGAAAAGGTTAACTTACATTTGACTTTTATGAATAACTCATGGGATATCTGAATCTTTGTCTATAGATACCTTTTTTTGGAAGGAAAAATTTTCTATTTTTCTATTACTTCAACTAGAATTCCCGAAGTTTGAATATTTGTTATTGTTTGTATGTTTAGCTAAATTGCTCAGATGTTATTCCAGCAATAGTTCATTATTGTGTACTTTTAAAATTATATAATCCAAGATAGGAAGTCAGCTCAAAGCTTAACTTTACCAGTGAGCTTGTATCTTTATATGTCTCTTTACCCATAAAATGACAATACCTTCTACTCACCATTGTTGTAAGTTTTTCTTAAATTTTATGAAAGAAAATGTATTATAGCAGCATTATTAAAAGCTTCAAACATTTCTCAAGAGTGAGGGATGTTTGCTTTGTAACTTTTACAAAGTAGTTTCTTATGATACAAAATGGGTTTTAGAATTCAGGCTATATAATGTATTGTTTGCTTAAAGTGGTATGTTATCTCTAGGCAAATGCTTCCCTTTTTTAAAATATGTAAATATATGACTAAGACTGTATGAAAAGTAAATCTGAACGTGGCCACATTTAATACTTTTTAAAATTGTAAAGTGTAGCTTTTCTTAATAGAGCCAGACATTTTTATCTCTGGTTATCTTTGATTTGGAGAGTTGGAGAGTGGCGTAGAGATAGGGATTAAGGGGAAGGAGGAAAAGGTTATTTTTAAGAAATGATAAATTCCTGGAAGTAAGGTCAAATAAAACCTAGATATTGGCAACAAAATAGAAAATAGAAAGTCAGAAAATACTAAGAGGGAATAAAACAAATGCAAACTGAGTATCAACTAGATTCTCCTGCCCCCCCCTTTTTTGGTAACAACTTTATTAAGGTAATTTGCATATTGTAAGTTTCACCCTTTTGAAGTGTACAGTTGTTACTCACGGAGTTGTGTGACCTTCAACGTGACCTAATTTTAGATAATTTTCATTATCACCTAGAAAACTTCATACTTATTAGCAGTCACTCCCTAGACCCTTCTTTCCCCATCCCTTGGCAACCCACCAGTACACTTTCTGTCTCTCTAAATTTGCCTAGTTTAGACAGTCATATGCATGGAATGAACCATTCAGTATATTTTCCTTTGTGACTGATTTCTTTGAGTTAGTTTAATATTTTCAAGGTTCATCTGTGCTGTCGCATGTATTCATACTTAATTTTTTAAATTGCTAATATTCCATTGTATGAATATACCATACTTTGTTTATCCATTCCTTTATGGACATTTGGGCTGTGTGTACTTTGGCTACTAGGATGTTATATTGTTGTGTTTTTCTGAATGTTTGGGTATGTTTTTCTGTGGACATAATGTTTTCAAGTCTCTTGGGTATATACCTAGGAGTGTAATTGCTGGGCCATACCTTAACTTTGAGGAACTGCCAGATTATTCCAGGCAGATTTTTCTCCCCCTTCACCCTATTTTGTTAAGGATGCCAGCGACTACCATGTTGCTAGATCCAGTGGTCAGTTCTCAGTCTTCTTAATTTATCTATCTGTGGGGAGATTAGTTCATGAATTAATTACCTCCTTTGAAAAAAACTTAAGCTTTAAGAAAGCAGTACATGACCATTGTGGGAAAATTGCAAATACAACAATTTAAAATATTAAAAATTCACTTTCCTATCAAACTAAAATATTAAATATTGGTGCTTGGGGATACATAGTTAAAGGCTGTCAGTAAATAGATACCATTTGAAGCCATATGTATGAATAGCTTCACTTAGGGAAACAGTATAAACAGAGAAGAAGGTGAAATTGTGGGCTCATGTCTTAGTACAATTAAAGATTGGGAAAAGGGCAGTCTCAAATGAATTTTGAGAATCAGAACCTTATTTATAAATCCTTGGATAGTGCCTGACAGCGATGTATCAGTATTTGTTAAATAAAATCATCTAAAATCATCCTAATAGACATACTGCATCCATTTTCATTTCATTTCATTTTCTTACTTTACCTCCTCCTTTTGATGTTTTCTGCTTTTATTATTAAGGTTTTGCTGCTTATGGAATTATCGAGCACCCATTTCTTCTGATAATAAATTCCATAATATGGAAATGTAGCTTGAATTCTTTAGAGCAAAATTCTCAAAATTTATTTATACTGATGGTCTCAAACTCTTCTCATTCTGAAATTCACTCAAATTAGGGTTTTATCTTTATCACTCCATTAAAGCTATTTTTCTAAAGGTCTTCAAATATCACCATATTGCTAAATCTAATGGTCAATGCTTAGTCTTTATCTTACTTGACCTGTCAGCAGCATTTGACAGTTTTTTTAAGTCTGTCATTGAATTTTGATACTATTTTCTTGGGCCCCAAAATCACTGCAGATGGTGACTGCAGCCATGAAATTAAAAGAATCTTGCTCCTTGGAAGAAAAGCTATGACCAACCTAGACAGCATACTAAAAAGCAGAGACATTACTTTGCCCACAAAGGTCCATCTAGTCAAAGCTGTGGTTTTTCCAGTAGTCATGTATGGTGTGGGAGCTGGACAGTAAAGAAAGCTGAGCACAAGAAAATTGATGCTTTTGAACTGTGATGTTGGAGAAGACTCTTTAGAGTTCCTTGGACTGCATGGAGATCAAACCAGTCCATACTAAAGGAAATCAGTCTTGAATATACTTTGGAAGAACTGGTGCTCAAGCTGAAGCTCCAATACTTTTGGCCACCTGATGCAAAGAACTGACTCATTTGAAAAGACCCTGATGCTGGGAAAGATTGAAGGTGGGAGGAGAAGGGGACGACAGAGGATGACATGGTTGGATGGCATCACCAACTCGATAGACATGAGTTTGAGCAAGCTCTGGGAGTTGGTGATGGACAGGGAAGCCTGGAGTGCTGCAGTCCATGGGGTCACAAAGAGACACGACTGAGCAACTGAACATCATGATACACACACCTATACCAAGAAAGATGTGTTTCTGTTGCTCCAGAGTGTTTCCATGTTCCTGTTTCTAGTCAATTTCTCATTTCTCCATCCAGTCAGGCACAACTGAGTGACTGAACAACAGCATTGAAATTTGTTCTTCACTCTTGCTACCAAGACATATTGTTGATTTCTTACTACCTTATTGGTTGCTCATTCTTAGTCTCATTATTTTTTCCCTCCTCCATGATCTCTTAATGTTGAAGTTACATATAGCTCAGTCCTGGTGTGTCTTTGATTTTACACCTATATTCACTTATGATAATCTCATCTAGTTCTCATGAATTGAAATACCATCTATATACAGGAACTTTTCTCTGAACTTCAACATTGTGTATCCAACCACCTTCTTGATATTTCTATTTAGAAGTCCAGTGGGCATCTCAAAATTAACATAGACCAAACTGAAGTTCTAATCCACACCCACAAGTTTTCTCAACCAAGATTTCTCTAAGTTAATGACAAATCCAGGCTTCTACTTGTTCAAGTGTACACACTTGGAGTACATCTTGAGTTTTCTTTTTCTTATACTCTAGTCTAAGCTTCTCTGGAGAAGGGATAGGCTACCCACTCCAGTGTTCTTGGGCTTCCTTGGTGGCTCAGATAGTAAAGAATCCATCTGCAATATAGAGACCTGGCTTTGACCCCTCAGTTGGGAAGAACCCCTGGAGGAGGGCATGGCAACACACTCCAGTATTCTTGCCTGCAGAATCCCATGGACTGACGTCCCTGGAGGGCTGTAGTCTATGGGATCGCAAAGAGTTGGACATGACTGAGGGTCTAAGTACACCAAAGTCGATCTTGGAGTACACCTTGATTTTTCTTTTTCTCTTACCCTAGTCTGTTAGGAAATTGTCTTCATTTACATGGAATCTGACCATTGTTTACCACCTGTATGGTGACAACCTTGCATCATCTGTCATTTGGATTATTGAAACAACCATGTCCTGCTTCCACCAGTGTCCTCCTACAACCTTTACTTAGCACCATAGCCAAGTAATTTTGCTAAAAGTATAAGTGTGTGCATGCTCAGTCATGTCCAACTCTTTGTGACCCTGTGGAGTGGATCTGCCAAGCTCCTCTGTCCATGGAATTTTCCAGGCAAGAATATTGGAATAGGTTGGCATTTCCTACTCAAGGGGATCTTCCAGACCCAGGGATTGAATTTGCTTCTCTTGCAGCTACTACATTGGTAGGCAGATTTGTTACTTTTGCACCACCTGGGAAGCCCCAAAAGTATAGGTAATGAGAGTAAAAAACCAAAAGCAGAATGGGAATGGGCAAAATATATGAACAGATAATTCGTGATGAAAGATACAATCTTCAAACAAAAAATATTCAAATTCATTTGAGATTGGTGAAGTGAAAGTGAAAGTTGCTCAGTCGTGTCTGACTCTTTGCGACTCCATGGACTATGCAGTCCATGGAATTCTCCAGGCCAAAATACTGGAGTGGGTAGCCTTTCCCTTCTGCAGGGGATCTTTCCAACCCAGGGATTGAACCCAGGTCTCCCACATTGCAGGCGGATTCTTTACCAGCTGAGCCACTAGGGAAGCCCAACAATACTGGAGTGGGTAGCCTATCCCTTCTCCAGTGGATCTTCCCGACTCAGGAATCAAACCGGGGTTTCCTGCATCACACACGGATTCTTTACCAAATGAGCAATGAGGGAAGCCCAATTAGATAAATGCAAATTAAAACCACTCAACATTTTTCATTGATCAGAATGGAAAATACTTAAGAATATGGCAACACATGTTGGCAAGACTGTAAAGAAATAGTCATGTTCACATGTTGCTGATGGGACTACAAATGGATAGTTTTTCTGGAGGAAAATTTGATGGTATGTAACAAAATTATTCATTTACATTTCAACCAATGGGGCCAGCTCCTCTGTTTTCAGGAATCTATCCTGAAGATATCCCTCCAACAGTATTACAGTTATTCAAAAATGTATTAATTATAATAATTTTTAATTGCAGTGTATTGGAAACAACTTAAATGCCCATTCATAGGAGAGTAGTTGAAAAAAACCATGATATGTCTACATAGTGGGATGAGGAAGAGCTTTATGAACTGATAAGTGATTTCTAAGACATGGAGTAATTTCTAAGACATGCTCTAAAATGAAAAAAAAAGCAAAACACAGAAGAGTATAGCATGTTACCCTTCATGTATCTACCCTTCATATTATCTCCCCCTTGTGGCTCAGCAGTAAAGAATCTGTCTGTAATGCAGGAGACACAGGTTGTATTCCTGGGTGGGGAAGACCCCCTGGAGGGGGGCGTGTCAACCCACTCCAGTATTCTTGCCAGGAAAATCCCATGGACAGAGGAGCCTGGCAGACTGCGGTTCTTGGAGTCACAAAGAGTCAGACACGACTGAAGCAACTGAGCAGGCACAAGA